CCCACGAACCGTGAGATCGCGACCTGAGCTGAAGTCGGACGCTTCACCGACTGGGCCCCCCAGGCGCCCCTCGATGGCCCCATGTGTTTGTGTTGGGCTCACCATGCGCAGTGTGACCTCCTCCCAGATTGCCAGTTTGCTTGTACTCCTGTCGGCCCCTCCACCAGACTCTGTGACACTCCGGCCTCACGCGGGGACTCGTGACCACAGTCCACCCCCTCGCTACCCCTCCGGCAAGCTGTGGCACCACGGTCATGCTGCTGTGCAGAGCATCGTTGCCTTCAGGCAGTGACACTGCGGGGCTGTGGGCAGGGTTGTTTCTGGGCTGCATGGAAAGCTCGGTGGCCCGGCCTCCCGTATCTCCACCCTCAGTGCATCTGTCGCTCTCTGACTGCCATCGGGGAAAGCTGTCAAATACAATGGCATTCAGAAAGTGGTAACGCGAGCAGCCAGGAGATCACCGAAAGACGTCCCGGGCTACCCCGAGGACCCAGTTGTCCCCTGTGACTTGAATGATGACGTTCACTCCATCTTCCACCTGGGGGCTGGCATCCCATACAGGACCAGCCTGCCAGGCCCACTTACCAGTATGCAGGTGATATGTGCATACATATGTGCACACAGGCCTCCTGGTCCTTGTGACCTCTGAGGACATCAGCCTTGGACCACAGCAAGAATGCCAGAGGGACAGAGAAGCTCTCTGCTCCCGGCCAGGCCCTGACCCACCTCTGCGTCCAAGGCACTGAACTTCACCGTCCTTGACCCGGTCCCACCCAGGCCCCCTGAAGAAGGGAAGGAGCGTAAGAGCCCCACCTCGTCACGTCCCATCAGGATTCCCGACGAGGTGTATACCATCCCTACCTGGGAAAAAAGGCAGAAGGGAGCAGGGCAGGGAGGGAGATCATTCCCCATGTAGTGTACTCATTTCCCAGGTTTTCATTCCCCCAAGTGTCCTGGATGGAAAGTTAAATGTGATACCCGCCCAAAAAGATAAAAGCCTGTGTTTCTCAAAAGTCACGCAGTCTGCAGCAGGAAGATCTCTTGTACCGAATGCCCGTGTCTCGCTTGCACAGTCTTCCCGGCGGTTGCTGGGGCGGGAAAGGGAGAGTCTTGTAGGTTTGCAAAGCAGGGGAGGGAGACCTGCCCGCGTGGGGAAGGCAGGTTACTCAACAATTCAGAGCAGAGGAGGCTGGAGCGAAGCAAATATGCAAATCACGGCACGGAGGTTGGGGCAGAAAGATGCTTCAAATTTACAGAACGCCAGGTTAATCCGAGCCCATAGGAATGTTTGTTTCCATAAGACGCGATTTTTATGAATATTTACATACTTATTTAAGAAATCGTATTCGAAATGTTTAATTCAGTAACTTATGTATTACTAAACGCACTCAAAACATGGGCTTTTACCGCTAATGAGAACTGTGTCTGCTTCGGAATGAGACTGTTCATCCTCTAGTCCTGGGGGAGGGCGGGGACGGGATGCTGGAGGTCCTGTTCGGGGCAGCGAACCCCAGCCAGGGAAATAAATGAGCATTGAGTGAGCACCTACTGGGTGCCAGGGGCTTTCCTTGGCATTAGACCACAGCTGTTCCGGACACACAGTGAGAAATATATTTTTGCACTCCTCTTCCTCACACACGCACGCGTGCACACGCCTCACACAGCACGTTCTCACGACTGTAACTACAGCAGAAGTCTCATCCAACCCCTTCTTCCCGCGGGCCATCCAGGCTGGTACTGTCCATTCGGTTTTACCGTTTAGCTCGAGCTGGACTCTCCGAACGGACTTCGGGACTCGCCCACCCTTGATCCGGGGGTTTGGGACTCCGGCAGAACTTAACTCTGCCAGGGACGCGGTTCAGGAAACAGGCTTGGGGTTCAAGTCCCGGCTCCGGTGCCCATGGGCCGTGCGGCTTGAGTAGGGCCCTTAGCCTTCCCCAGTTTCTTCATCTGTACCGTGGGGACGGTGACTTCGCCCACCTTGTAGCACCATTGTGAGGTCTAAGAGAGGGCACGCAGGTGAGTAGTGACCTCCTAGGTGCGTGGTTGTAGCTGGTGTGGTGACGAAGCCATCGCGGGCTGCAGCACCCTGGTAGCGAAGAAAAACCCCGGAGCCAGACCGCCTGAGCTCAGAGCACACATCCACCCCTGATGACCCCTGTGGCCTTGGGTGAGTTAGTTAAACTGTCTGTGCCTCCAGATCTTCGCCTGCGACACGGGGGTATGAATAGAACACTCCTCGTGGGGTGATTCCGAGGATTAACAATAACGCATCCGAGTAACACGCTTAGAGCTTGGCGGGTAACAAGCACGGGGTAAATGACGGACCTCATCAGCATCATCCTCTTGTGTCTTCGTCTTCACGCATCCTTGTGAGATCAGTTTCCCCCCATTTCACAGCTGGGAACACTGAGGTCCAGAGACTCTGGGCAGGCTTCCCCCAGGTCTCGTTGATACCAAGTGGTAGAGTTGGAATTGCAAGTTCTGAGCCTCCAGTCCAGGGCTGAGAGAGGCTCAGAGTTCTGAGGACCTGAGAGCATGTCTCAGGAGGCACAGGGACGCTCCAGCCGCGTACCCCAGTACGTAGGCACTGCCCTACGCACCGAGGAGTGTGAGTGGGGAGGTTGGTGCGATCAGTAGGCACGCAATCTAGTATTGGCCTGGGCGTCACGGTGAGGACGTTGAGTTTTCCTGTTAGAGATGACATAACGTGGTCCCCAGTGGACTGTCCACGTGTAAAATTGGCTTCTTGAAAATATCTCTCTTCAGCTGAATTCCGTCACCTTTTCGTCACCTCTTGCCTTATTGTCTCCCACTGATGGCTGGATGCTGTGTGCCGAGGGGCACCGTTGAATCAGGAGCTCAGGCCCCTTCTGTCTTCCTGCTGCACACTCTACATGGAGCCTAGGAGATGCGTCAGCGTGTGGCTTCCCCTAAGTGCTGGGGCCAGCCCCACCTGAACCCCATGGGCTGAAACTGGGTGGTGGGGGGGAGAGGAAGAACGTCAAGATGACGTCATCAGGAGAAGGGAAATGGATGTTGGCCAATCAAAGCCAACTGGTATCTGTCATTCATGGGTTCTCAGGGCTGTGCCGTTGAGGCAGGGAACGGGGTAGTTCTCCATCCAGGAGTGGAAATGGCAGCAGCCTGGGAGTCAGGAAACCTGGTCCAGGTCCCAGTTTGTGCTGCTGTCTAGTTATGGGGCCTAGCTCAAGCGTGTTCTTTGTGTCCCTTTGGCCTCGGTGTCCCCATCCGCGCACTGGGTAAGGGGGAGGGTTCTACCCCGATGTTTCAAGATGTTATAGACTCTTTACGTGTGGTCCTTCAGTTAGTGTCCGGAGATGAAACTCACCCAGAAAGGGGTTTTGAGGAGGAAACGCTAAAACGTTGTGCCTCGAATGAGCTTTTGTGGTTGAGAAAGCAATTCTCCAAGGTTCTTCCCACTCGGGTGAGCAGCTAAAGTCACAGCTTTAATGGATCATCACTCCGACAGCTAAAGCCTTTCCAATTTTTCTTTTCCCTCCAGGCGTCACCGCATCGGCCCCTCCGAGCGTGTCTCCGCTCTTCGCAAGGTGAGCACCCTTGCCCACCTCCTCTGCCTCCCTACCTTTCCCCTCCTTGCGGGGCTGAGGCTCTGGGGCCTGAATCCCCAGAGAGGAATCCCAGCACCAGCACTTACCAGCTGAGCCACCCGGAGCACATGACTCCACCTCCCAGGCCTCGGTCTCCCCATCTGGAAAAGGGGGAGACCATCACGACGCCCGCCCCCTTGAAATGAGTTAAAACATGTTAAAAGGCCTTAGAACGAAGCCTGGAGTCGAGTGTCGAGTGTTGGCTCTTACTTCCTCTCTTCTTCTCTTTGTTCTTTTTGTCCGTCCTTCCTTCCGTTTCCCTCCCCTTCCTCCTTCCTTTCTTCTCCCTCCTTTTCACTCTCCCTCCTCTACTCTGTCCCCGCCTTCCCTCCCTTTCCTGCTGTCCCTGCCCGCCTCTTGCCTTCTCTCCTCTGCCCGGCGAGTGGAGGAGACAGGCCAGTAGGGCAGAGACCCCCTCAGGTGGACGGGCAGCATCAGTATTGCACCAGAGGTGTGTGAAGGGCAGAGCGAGCTCCCTGATGGCCACGGCTTCCGGAGAGCCCTCGGTGGTCAAGGTGCCCTCGGCCTAGAGGGTCAGCTCCTCCATATGCCGACACGCACCTCCCTTGACAACACTGGAGAAGCCGTTTGGAAGGAACACACTTTCTCAGCCTTCCTTTCCTTGCAGACGTTTTGGGGATTGTTAGTAGCAACAGAGGTCTGTTCCATCCACCTGAACTCTTCTTTAAGGCCGTGGAGTTGGAGAGTTCCACTCCTCTTTCTCTAGGTTTTCACCGTAGCCCCAGATTAATCCGCAAGGGAGAAAGGGGTTCTGATGGGAAGCCAGAGTTGATCGCCTGGAATTTCCACCTTCTAGATTGAAGGACAGGTGCAACTTGGGAGCAGGTTCAGATAAGGTTCTATGCTCGGCCCTGAGTCCCGACTCTCGGGACTCATGCTCAGGCGCGACAGACACCGAGAATGTTGGCAGCTGAAACGCCCTCCAGGACTGGTTCTGGCGTCTCCAAGTCCAGTGAGTTCCTCACACACTTTGGAACGAGTTCCCCAACCCTTTATCAGCGTAGAAGTCGAAAGGAAGGCAGGAGAACATCTTTTTGTAATTCCATAAACCTTTGTACCCATCTCACACCTGCTGGGAGGCTTCTTACATAGAAGGAATTCGGGAAAGGAAGAGATTTTCACTAACGTGATGTAACCAGGGGTACCTGAGTGGCTCAGTCAGTTAAGAATCCGAGTTCGGTTCAGGTCATGAGCTCACGGTTCATGAGTTCGAGCCCCGCGTTGGGCCCTGTGCTGACAGCTCACAGCTCAGAGCCTGGAGCCTGCTTCAGATTCTGTCTCTGTCTCTCTGCCCCTTCCCCTCTCGCTTGCTCTCTCTCTCTCTCTCTCTCTCTCTCTTTCTCTCTAGTAACATTTCAAAAAAATTTTTTTAAATAAATAAGATGATGTAACCAAAATGGAATCCAGTCCAGAGTTGGGGATCTCATTAACATCTACTGGAAAGCAGGCTGGTTAGAGCAGGTAGGTACAGGATGTTGGGTGCAGAAGGCCCTAGTGTCCCCATGTGTGAGCTGAAGAAAGAGACTGGCCCAGTGAAGTGGTTAAGGGTGCAGCCTCTGGAACCGGGTTCAAAGTCTGCATCAGCTGTGCAATCCTAGTATGTTAGTTCTCTCTCTGCCTCTGTTTTCTTATCTGTAAAATGGGGATAAGGATCGTAACTACCTCCAGGGTCGTTGTAGTTGTATGAGGTTTAAATGAGCCAGTCTACATCAAGGAATTAGGATGGTGCCTGGCACATAACGGGCACAAGAATTTTTAGCTGTTTTTATCGCTAAAGGAGGTGGACCCGGTGGGGGCTGTTATAGACAGAGTGTGGTGGTTCAAGATGTGGCCACTACTCAAATTGGTTGGTAAAGCCACACGGGAGTGCAGACCTAGGCTTTGTAGGTGTTTTGGGGGGGGG